GCCTGCGAGCTTGCAAATTGGTTCATTTCATTATTTGTTAGCTTTTAAATACTGAAGCTCTATTTAATATGACAGAGATATTTAGGTGATAAGACTGAAAATTACGGATAATTAGGACTTGAGAATATTGGTATGTGTACTAAGGTACTTAATGGGAGAGAAGTTTATGATAAGGAATATATATCTCAGGAATGGATCTTATTTTTTGGTCTGTGTGTTGAAGGTAAAGCATAGATACAGAATTGCACCGAGTTCAGCTTCTTCTGAAAAAAGAAGAAGCTCTTCAATGTTGCTCTTGGAGGGAAAGCAGAAGGATTCTTCAAGAGCAGATAAGAGCAATGTCAACATTCTTACTAAATCTCAAGTGGATGCAGATCTAAGCAAGATGAGAAGCATGACTGCACAAGAGGCTGCTGCTGCTGCTGCCCAGGCTGTTGCAGAAGCAGAAGCTGCCATTGCAGCAGCTGAAGAAGCAGCAAGGGAGGCAGAGGCGGCAGAAGCTGAAGCAGAAGCAGCACAAGTTTTTGCCAAAGCAGCAATGAAAGCATTGAAATGTAGAAGACTTGGTAAAGTTCTCTTGTCCGATTTCACATCATATGTTGACCTTTAACATACAATGTCAATATACTCCATGAGTTTTTCTTTTAAGATGCTATCCTTGCATCCTATGAACTTGAATTTTGAGAGAGCTTGGCCAATATTTGGACACATGCCCCTACGTAAAGGTGGTAGTTGCTCTGTGTAACGTCCCCGCCAATGCTTACTGTGCAGATGGATTTTTCTTCTACTATATATTGTGATTTAAGTTCAAAAATTATATTTTTCATGCTAAAATACTTCAAGATTCATAATTTCTCGCTTATATTATCATATAAGGGATTCATGTCAATCTATATGGAGATTTATTTTGGTAAAGCTTCATCTAATGCTCCTATCCATGCCTTTTTATACTTGTAATTCCTATTGACATCTTTGCAAATTTTTGCAGACCTTGACATGAAACTCGCACATGGGTAACTTCTTTTTGAGCAAGAACTGTGCATGGGATAACGATATGCTGGTGCAGCAATGGCTTCATGTGTCAGTTAGTGTAAATAGGTTGTGTTTGTAAATGCGGGACATGAGAGCTCCATCTGTGAATTTCCTTTTTTACATTTCCAGGTATCATTTTGTACGGAGCTTATTAGGTGTCCTGATATTCAGAATTAAACAATGAGGTAAATGAGTAAAAACTGAAGGAAAGAGAGATTTTGCATGCCAAGGTAGGTAAAAGTACGCTTTGCAATTGTCGCTGTTATTTGATTGAAGAGAAAAAGTGCTTGGGCAAATGTACTTCAATTTTCATGGCCATCTCTCTCTC